TATATATATATATATATATATATATATATATATATATATATATATATATAAAACTTCTATATTATTCTTATATATTATTATTAATTAAATATGTTAATATATTATTGTTAGTTAAATATATATATATATATACATAAATTATATTAATGTATAAATGTGTATAAAGAGATATCAAAAAATTACTAAAATTTCTATTGCACGAGAATTATTTAACTATTCACTTTTCAGAAGGGATGTCACGCGAGTCTCAGCCAATCAAGGTTCACAATTGGAATCACATCGCAGGTAGTTAAATTAATTGGGAATCGAATGCGCCGTTGCCTCGAAGAGCGTCAGGATCGCTTGGTTGTTTTCCTTGGCAATTCGCGGCGAAAACCGCGCGACCAGGGGGATCCACCTGTGAACGCCATGTTGCCCGCTGCTACGTCCCTGGTCCCATTACAATCGCGGCGGACCCCACGGTCCCACAAGGCGATTGTATCGAGCTGCCGGAGAAGCAGAAGGAGAGGGGTCTCCATGTCGGTTCAGTGAGCTCACGCACGTCGAACACTCATCAACGCAACGGAGCCGCGGCGCGGTACCCGTCGACGTCCAAAAATGGCGTTCCTCGCGGCGTAGCTCGCCGAAGTCCGCGTAGCCGGCGCTCACCGACGTCGTCGTGATCCGCGCTCGAGCTCGCCGACCGATCTGCTGGACCCGGTGGACCTGGCCAGCGGGCGCCACTACGAGGAACAGCCGACGTAAATATAGCAGAACTGCGCGTGCCGTGCGTTCCTGCGTCCGCGGCTGTACGCGGGTGGACGGTGCGCGCGTATGTGTGAGTGTGCGTGTGTGCGCGCTGGAATACGCGTTCGCGCGATATCCCGCGGACGAAGACACGACATCGTGCGCGACCTCAATGGAGCGACGATCGAGTGGATATACGACGGAATTCCGTTTGTCAGGAAGCTCCTCGAGAGGTGAACGACGAAAAATCGTCGTCGTGGATGTCGAAGCGATTGCGGAACCGCGGGAACGGGCCGTTGCGCGTCCGAGGATCCACGGTGCCGACGGGTCGTCAAGCATAAAATAGGCGGTACCAGAAGTCAGTGAAACGAGGAACTCTCTGGCTCGAGGGTCCGTGAAACTGAGGCTCTCCGCGACTTGGAATTCGCGATATAATTCTGATCCAAGTTCCATGGATGACTCGCGAGGTCGAGGATCCCGAGCCAAAAGTCTTCGACGTCTAGGATCCGTGACAGCGCGAGACTTCACGTGACTCCGGATTTACGGTACCGCGGATCAAACTTCCTTGAGTACTCGAGGACGCCCACGGTACCTTGAGAGCCGCGATTTCAAGGACGTCTGAAGGATTTAGATTCCGTCAAATTAAAGATCTGACGTAACAGAGATCTTGAACTATAGTCTTGTATAAAGAGCGTTTTTCCCAGTTGTTACTTTAAAATTGCGGAGAGCTCTCAACGACCAGTGGGAGCAAAGGTCAATCCGTGCGTTTAATCGAGCTTTCGTAACGTGCATCAGCGATACATAAAATCACGAAGATCCGTAAATCCGCATAACAAGATGCACAACGTAAATTCGTTTTGACATTCATCGTCTCATGCCGATAAAATTCGATTCTGACAAGCGGAATCCCGTCCTTGACAGCATAAACTTTTGAGAAATGCCTGACCGATATCTAAAAGACGACTTACGTTTTTCAGATCTACGTCTCTCAAACGTCTTTGAGACGACTTTTAGGAATGAAGTACTAATCTGGGATTGTATCTCCTGCTCTGAGAAAAGTTGCTCCAAAGCGCGCCGTTCATAATCTCGATCGCGACCCATCGATCGCGCAAGACCCACCGGATGACGATCTGCGTCTGTCCGAGCTAATGAATGGAACACGGTCGGCTGAGGAGATCAATCGAGAGATTTCCAACGACGTTCTCCCGGACTCTCGTGAATGACGCGAACGAGATTCTTGCGCGAGCGCGTGCGAGCGTGCGTGCGTGTTGAGAAAAATTTGTGAGCGAGGTGAAAGTCGTGCATGCCGACTGCTAAGTGAATTTGATTCACGGGTGTCGTTTACATGCGAATATGCGAGAGCGATTCTCGTTATGAGAATCTTGTTTTCTGATTGGCGTTGACACATTGCGTTGGCAACTTGGTTGACGTTTGCGCGGGACAATGCGGAGAGAAAACTCAGTTCGTCTGACTGATTTTCCGTTGTCTGGGGATCAGATGGATACTCGATTGTGGGAACAGAAAGATTCCTGTAGGAGATTTCTATTGAGTGCGTCAATTGTCCTCAGTTATCTCAACCGAGCTGTAACGCAGCCGAACGTTCAAACTAATGTTTTCTGTCGCGATAACAGAAATATTGTTTCTTGTCTTCTTGTTGTGAGTTCTCGTCTCGTTCTCATTAAGGTAAAAGGACCAATTCAATATTCAATATTTAATTTTTGTAACATGAAATATACATATGTTAAAACAATAAAAATGTCATAGTTAGATACAATTGATTGCAAAACGGTTTGGATACGATAAAGTTGGAGTTCACTAAATTGTGAAAATTTGCAGGCAATATAATTAACAACATAAGTGTAATAACAATAAATAATAGCTATATATATATATATATATATATATATATATATATATATATATATATATA